AGACTGCGGCCTCTGGGTGCTACTACAGTATATATTTTAAATACAGTGGGGTCTGACGCCAGCAACAGAAAACAGGTATAACAAAAAGCAACAGATCTAGTTATAAAAAACAAGTGTGCATTCTTGTGCCACAAAAATCGCAGAATTTTCCCAGTTTATAAGAGAATCAGGGCCTTTTCTTCACTAAAACAAACAGTACCATTCACCCCACACACGATTTTCTCTGATCATGAATGGCACCCAACGGATACGTTGGAGATAAACTATAGACAGTGCAGAGAGGCTACTCAGTGTAGGAATACGCTTGAAGAGTTTATAGTAAATATTTCTTCAAATATTTGAAAATTAACAGATCAGAGATCATTGTACATTGTACTTCCACATGTATGAAAGGAAGTAAGTCAGAAAGCTTTCCAGATGCAAAGCTGAAGTTAGCTTTAAGAACTGCCATAAAGCATTACTGTTTTCAAACTAACATTTTATTTAAAACCAACCTTGTGTTTGTCAAGTTCTGATACAGCAGAATACAAAAGGAGACATCAGAGCACTTTTATGGAAAGCCTAAATGGTTACCAACAACAGTGCTGCAACTGACTTAACCATACAACAAAACTAAATACTCACCTTCTTAGGTACACAGGCTCACATCTAACAGATTACTACTATACATGCATGATTTTAGAAGATGTATGGTAATGCTCATTTGAAGGAAAGATATGAGCCCTAAATTTAACAACACTGGTTTATCAATCACTTTAATAGCACTGGAAAATGGCATGTGCTGTTAATTTATATTGCTCAACAGCAGTGGTCACCAACCGGTTGATTGCGACCGACTGGTCGATCCTGGAGACTCTCCCAGTTGATCACGATCTCTGCCGCTAAAAGTCCAGTGGTATAGTGGGGCTGCCGCTAAGGCAGGCTCCCTGCCTGCCCTGGCCCCATACTGCTTCCAGAGGCAGTCAACATGCCCCCTCGGCCCCTCCCGGGGGGGGGCGGGGCGCATGCAGGGGTCTCTGCACACTGCTCCTGCCTGCAAGCACTGCCCCTGCAGCCCCCATTGGCTGGGAACAGGGAACTGCAGCCAATGGAAGCTGAGGGGGCAGTGCCTGAAGAGAGAGGCAGCACACGGAGCCATATGCACTGCCCCTGGGGCACACTGGCCACTTCTGGGAGCATCATGGGGCCAGGAGCCTGCCTTAGCCCCGCTGCGCCGTGACTGGGAGCCACCTGAGGTAAGTTTCCCCTGGCGGGAGCCTGCACCCCAACCCCCTCCTGGAGCCAACACCCCATAGCATCTCCTGGACCCCAAACCTCTACCCCAGCTGAGCCCCCTCCCAAAGCCAGCACCCCATACCCCCTCCTGTGCCCTGAACCCGTCCCAGCCCTGACCCCCCTCCTGGAGCCACCACCCTGTACCTCCACCTGCACTCCAACATGCTGCCCCAGTCCAGAGCCCCCTCTTGCACCCAAATTCCCTCCCAGAGCCTGCACCCCACACCCCTCCTGGATCCCACACCCTACCACTCTGCCCCAGCCCAGAGCCCTCTCCTGCACCAAAACTCCCTCCCAGAGCTTGCACCCCAACCCCCTTCCCCAGGCTCAGCCCGGAGCCCCCTCCCACACTCTGAACCACTTGGCCCCAGGCCAGAGCTCACGCCCCCTCCCGAACCCCAACCCAGTGAAAGTGAGTGTAGGGTGGGGGAGAGCAAGCGACTGGGCGGGGGAGGGGGTGTTTGAGTGTGGCAGGACCTCGGGGAAGGGGTGGGTTGCACTTAAATTCAAAAAGTGATCTTGTGCGTAAAAAGGTTGGAGACCACTGCTTGACACTGTTTGAAGGCAAAGTGCCCTTGTTCCTCATTGAAAACCCCCAGATGCAAGCCACACAGAATCCATATCTTGACAAACCACTTGTTTATTTTTCTCTCTTTGATGAACTTATTACTAAATTTCTAAGTCAGACATGAAGCCTTACCAGGTAATTAAGGACTTGTTTATGCCACAGTCTGCACAGTTTTAACTTAAGTTGGGTCAATGGTGCAAAACATTTAAAAGCCACTAATTTAAAACTTGTTTAGTTGAAATATGCAATGTCAAACGTCCTATTTTATTATCTTCTGTGAGAACAGTATACTACTAACACGCTTCTACCCTGTTGAGGGAGGTGGAGTTTTTGGGTATGCTTCTTGTGGAGTTATTCTGGTATCCATTCTGTTTATAATTTGGAACTTCTGAAAACTGACTAACAATTAAGTCTCAGGACTATAGGTCACACAAGGGATGGACTAGCCTACTGAATAGTCTCGGTGGCCCTCACAACAGTAACGACATGTTGCTACAGCCAACTACACTGTACACAAGTACACTATTATAGCACTTCAGCGTAGGTAATGTCTACATTGACAGGAGGGGCTCTCCCATCTGTGTAATACACCTCCCTGAGAGGCAGAAGCTAGGTGGACAGACGAATTCTTCCATTGTCCAGCACAGCTATGTCTCCCAGGGGTGTGAATTTTTCATATCCAATACTCATACCACACCTGAGAGATGCAGCTATGCCAGTAAGTTCCTAGTGTAGACCAGCCCTAATAAAGAAAGTAGCCTTGATTTCTAGCAAAAGACTACTATAATAATTAAAAATAAGCACCCAGCATCATTGGATTACAGTCTAAATACGTAGAGCAGTTAGTTATGCCAGTATAATTCAAAATCTCTGAAACTGTTACACACAGGGATAGATTCTCCTCATTAGTATAAGGAACAGAGTCCACTGAAATCAATGGAGTTTCTCTCATTTAAACCAGTTTTACATTAGGGTATCAGGCTCATTCATTATATCTATTGTACTTCATTTAAACCAAGTACTAATCTGTATGTATAACAAGCTTTAAGCAAGCACCCTACTGGGCACTTTGAAGTGTAGAATTCAAATGCACACTAGCACTTGCTAACAGATTTTGGAAATCTCCTGTAGCCTATTTACTCAGTTGTTCCCCAGTCATTTGTTTCCAGTTATCTTAACAATACCTTCAACTGACCACAACTAGATACAGGCTATGGCTACACTACACAGTGGCAGATGCGCTAAGATGTATTTTTTGTTCACATTGTCTCTTCTACCTGCTTGACCACTGTTGCAGTCTATGAGTTAAAATTCAGAGGATAAAATTTTGTTAAAGTTATTACGACACTCAAGGTTAGAAGTAGTTATCAGTGGAAGATGGAATTCCAACCTCTTCCTCGAGACTCATACGACAACCACATTAAAACAGCCAGCTCTTCATGAACAGTGTACACACACACACATATATATACACACACACACACACACACACACACACTATATATATATATATATATATATACACATATACACACACACACACACACACACACAGTTAATAACTGATTAACACCTGCCCTCCAGCAACATATATTAGTAAATGTGATTCTTACAGAGAAGACACAGCAAGTAAGAATTCTGCACTGATGGACAATAAATTAGGTTGCCTATCTCTTCCAGAAATCTACAAAACACTTCAAAAGTAAGGGGGAGAAAACAATATTTGGAATAAAAGACATTAGCAAAGCCAGAAACAAAATCAGGTTGATTCCTAACCCTGCAGGCACAACCTTCCATCCTCCCTATCATAAAAGGTTAAAATCTTGTATCACGCTGGATTTTACATTTATTTTCTAAGATTTTTGACAGGTGTAATTTATTTTTTATTTGCCCCTAAAACAGAGATGAACTGAAAAAGCTTCTGACACAGTTATTATCAAATGGGAAAAGGCAGAGCTGAAACATTTCCAAGCGTAAGACAGGATCCACAGCCAAACCCTCCCCCACCCTCCAAGATGCTGCCAGGGACCCAGGCTTCTCTGACATAAGATCCACCCCCTTCCTCCAGAGCCGCTGACAGAGATCCAGGCTCCTATTTGGGTATTTCTAAGGCCCCTAACACTTTGGTATCTGAGCACCCACTAGATATAGATAGAACACACACATACAAAATCTAAGAAAGGTGTTTTCCTCTTTCAGCCTCCACCCCCATGTCAGGCAGAGGATCCACCCACACCCAGCCCCTCTTGCAAAGGGCTTGACTCAGTGCAGAGGCACAGCAGGGCTGGATCGCCCACAGGGCTCACTTGGAACCAGGGAAGTTATAAGTGCCTCAATGGGGTACAGGCACCCACCCCACGCCAGGCAGCGCCGGTAACCCTCCCCCTGCCCTAACGACCAACTTGCAGCGTGAGAGATGAGGCAGGCGGTGCTCAGGCAGCCATTTATTCCCCTCCGCCCCCCTCACATAACGGTCACGGGCTGAAGTACACGCGTCATCCGGGGCTGCGGCCCATGTTCAGCATTAAAATGCAGCCCAATGGGGCCCCGGGTGTGCGGCGGACAGAAAGGAGGGGAGGGAACCGGCAGGCAGAGCGAGACGGGGCGCTGGTGGAGGCGGCTGCGAGGGAGTCGGCGCGGGCAAGGGGAGAAGAGGCGGAGAGCCGACGCGGCGGAGTGGGAGTAGGGGAGAGAGCCAGCCGATGGCAGGGGAGAGAGAGCCGGGGAGAAAGAGAAGCGAGGGGGGGAGGAGATGGAGCCAATGGGGGGCGAGGAAAGGAGGCTGGGTTCACCCCGCACCGTGCCCGCCCGCACACCCCGCCTCCCCCTGCTGCAGAAACTACGCCATTGCGGCCTAGTCCAGGAGCCAGCAGCGCGCTGCCTCCCTCTCGCTCCCCCTCCCCCCCGCCGCCATCTTGGCGGCCGCCGCCATCTTTCCTTCCCCCCGCCGGAGCCGGGCAGGAGCAGGAGCAGCAGCAGCGCAGACCCCGCCATCTTTTCGGGGGAGCCGCCATACTTGCCCTGGCGATGAACATGGCGGCGCCCATCACACACATCAAAACATGGCCTCCCTTCAAAACAAAACCGGCCTGGCAGAACTGGTGGGCGCCCGGCGGGGCCTAGGGCCCGGGGAGGGAGGGGCCAGGCGCGCACTTACCCGAGGCCCACATGGTGACCGAGAACTCCCCCTCCAGGGTCTTGATCTGCACCTGCTTCTGCTCCCATTTCCTGCCTCCGCCGCCTTCGGCCCCGCCGCCGCCTCCCCCGCTCAGGTAACTCTTCTTGCTGCTCTTCTTTCCGCTGCCGCCCTTCTTGACGCGGCCTCCGGCCGAGGACGAGCCGCCGCCCCCACCGCTCTTGCTACCGGCGGCGGCCACGGTGACCAGGGTCTGCTCGATATACTCGTCCTCCCCGGCGGGAGCCGGCACCGGGATGAGGATCTGGTCCTCGAAACCGTCGTCGGCCCGTAGCCCGTCCGAGTCGTCTCCCCCCACCACCTCCTCACGGGTCTGCACCAGGATCACCTCCTGGTGATGGTGCAGGTGGAGCTGCCCCCCGCCGCCGCCACCCGCGCCGCCGCCTGCTCCGCTGGGGTCTCCGTCCGAGACGAGCGGCTGCAGCGCGATCATGGGCTGGTGGTGGTGGTGGTAGTGATGGGGCGGGTGGTGCGGGCCGCACTCCTCGCAGCATTCATCCTCATCCTCCTCGTCCTCGTCCTCCTCGCCGCCCACCACGGTCGTCTCGATGGTCTCCACCGGGATGGTCTCCACCTCGATCTCGTGCAGCTCCACGATCTCGGCCGGCATCTCCGAGCCGTCCGTGGCGATGTACAGGGTGTCTCCCGAGGCCATGGCGGGGCGAGGGAGGGGACGAGCGGGCGGAGGGTCCGGTCCGCTCCCCTCGGCGGGCAGGCGACGGGGCTCGGGCTCCTCTCGCTTCCCTTCCTTCTCCTCCTCCCCCTTCCACACAAACACCAGGCAGCTCCTCGCAGCCAGCGAGAGGGAGGCAGCCAGCCGCCAAATCCCGGCTACGCTCCCTCGCGAGACTTCCGCCGCTACCGCCGAGACGGACCTCAGCCCCTGGAGGCTGCTGCCGCCGGGAGTCACCCCCACACGCTAAGCAGCCTATCATACCGCGCCTCGCACCGGGGACACGCCCCTTCAACCCTGACAGCCTACTGGAGAGCGTCTGGCACCGGGGCCCTGCCCTTTTCCATACACAGCCTATCGCTGGGCCGCAGGGTACGCCCCCTAGCGCCTCAGCCTATCCCTGCTTCTTGCGGAAGACCCGCGCCGACCCTGGGTAGGGAGGAAGCTGTCACTCGCTCCAAGTCCTTTCTTTTGCCCCTGCGGAGCGGAAACCATCTAGGAGGACGTTTGCTGCGCTCGTGACCCCGCTTCCCTCCGGGTCTCTGTCACGGGCCGGGCCGGAGCTGCGAGCGCCCCGGGGAACACGCCCCAGTGCTGAGCCGGGGTGAGTCGCCCCCGTGGGGCTGCTGCGGGGCGCTCGCTCCGTGCTCCCACCGCGTCCCTGGAAACCCGGCCGCACCGGCGGCAGGAGCCGACCGTGGGTCCAGCCTGTTCTTCTCGCACCTCCCGTCCGCGCGCTCCTGCCCTCCGACAACCTGGCTCGGCACAGCTGGCAGGCGATTGTGGACGTTTCCCTTTATTATTCCTCATGCTGGAGTCACGTAGCGCTCTCCAAAGCGAGCCTCATGTTGAGTTTCTGACGCTTTCTAACGAAGTTGCATCTGCTTTATAGTGAAGAAAAAGCACTTGCGGCGATACAGTTTTAGTGTAACGCGGTCCTGTGTTACAGGGAACGGCTGTTTTAAACCGGATGACTCGCCCTGGCCAAAACAACATACAAGTGTTAACCGGAAGACATGAGACCTTATCAGGAGGTGGTTGCAACAAGTAAGACAAGAGGGGGAAACTACAGTACTTTACAAGCTCGGTTAATCACTTTTACCCTGTCACTCCCATTCAGCTGGCTGCTGAAGGAGAAATCCTATACTTGTGTAAAATCAAACAGTTTAGGATCAAAAGTGAAGAACCCCTAGCAAACTGCAAAATAAACTGCTACTTACTAGCTGTTGTCCATTTAAAGGAAAACAGATAGACTGTGTCTGCTAGACTATTCCCCCTCTACCTCATGAAGTGTCTCACTCATCAGTGAGTGGAGTGGGAGCACTAGTGTAGACTGACTGCTGGCTAGCCCTTCTGCTCAGAGCAGGTCCAGGCTACAGCAATCAATAACACCAGTAGACAGTGATTTGACTACTCTCCTATCTTTGCTATTATTTAGGTAAATGTACAGTGATAGAAACTGGAGTGTTTTGTTGTTTGTTTTTTAACTTTCGGGCTGGTAGGACAATAATGACTGATAGCTGCATTTAAAGTCATCCTCTCAAGGAGGATAGTTGGGAAAACTCTGTAGTCTATTAAACAGTGTCAATTTAAATTTGGTTCAAAGTTTCCAGTTTGTAAGAATTAATTCCTTTTAAACATAAAAGCGTATAAAAATGACTCAACAACTTATTCGGAAATTCCATGGTAAAATTGTTTTAAAACTAAGTTTCCAGTTAGTGAAAACATTAAAATGAAACTGACTAAACAAAAATGAAACTGATTTGATTTTCATTGTCCACCAGTAAAGTGACAGCAAATGGATTTCAAAACATTTCATTTAATATTCTGTTGTTTGTAACAGGTAAGAATTACTGCATGATTATGATGGTTGTTTCCTTTTAATCCTTTCTGTTGCCATAGGCCAAATCTAAAAATAGTGACACCCCCTCCATTCTACTCCACCTAAGTACAAATAACAACCACCCCCACCAACCTGTGTAGGCTGCCAAGTATACTTGTGCCAAGTTCAGCAGATATGAAAAACTTCAAACATGAAACAGAGTTCAAGTGATCAAAGAGCCTTAATGAAACAAGATGAAATCATATCAAAACAAGTAATATGAAAAATCAGGTGTAGCTTTTCAATGTGATATTAAAATATGTAGTAAATGTAGACTGCAACCAACAAGTATCCTTATTTCCTAATCACTTTCTAACTTTCCCCTCTGATCCTTCCTCCTTTGTTTGACCTGATCTGCAAGCCCTTGATTTTGGTAGGACTACCACACAAGGAAGACTTATAGAATTGGGCCTTTAGGCCCCAATCCTGCATTGAGAGCTGCCAGTGCAGAGTTTTGTACCTACATGAAATCCTAATGAAGCACTTCCTGAAGAAGATCCCTATGCAAGATCAGGGCCTAAGGCCTGGTCTACACTAGTGGGGGGGATCGATCTAAGTTACACAACTTCAGCTACGTGAATAACGTAGCTGAAGTCGATGTACTTAGATCTACTTACCACGGTGTCTTCACTGTGGTAAGTCGACTGCTGACGCTACCCCGTTGACTCCGCCTGCACCTCCCACTCGGCGGTCGATTTATCGTGTCTTCACTAGACGGGATAAATCGACCCCAGCTGGATCAGTTGCTGCGGAGGTAAGTGTAGACATGCTCTTAGATGGTACAGTCTTTGGAGTAGGGGCTGTGTATTATCTCTGAAAAGCACCACAAATCCATATGGGGCAGTTTGGATAATGAAGGTCTACTTGAATTTTACAACTGTGTGGCTGCCTGCATAATCAAGGGGCGGGGGGGAAGTTGTTTCTGGGAAGACATGTATACAGCACAGTGTTTTTCAGTAAGCTAACTCATTCAACCATAAACTAAAATTATGCAGTTAAAATACTGCTTGCCAATGAGAATGCTCCATCTTGCTCCTGTACAGTTGAACAATATTGAAGACAATCTCCTGAATTTGTAGATTTAAAGCAATGCAACCTGTATAATCAAGGGAAATGAACAATAACTTGGTTCGCTGAAGTGTAGAATTTAATATGAGTAGTACATTGCAGTTTGTTAGTTGTGTAGAATTTCTATGTAGAGTGAAATGTTTTCACCCCTCAGCTCATAGAGAGCCGAGAATACTACATGTACAGTATAATTACCTGCTACTAAAGGTCCATAATTAGTAGAATCAGGTTGGGGAGGGAGGACGGACATGTTAAATGGGGCATTTTCCCATCCCCTAGCCAGGCTTATGCCAGATGGATTTTGCCCCCAGATAGCGACTCCAGGTATGAATGGATATTTTAAGCACTTATTTGTTATTAGCCTTCTTTCTTCTGAAAACACAACCCCTTTAGTCATTGAACTTAACAGCCCTCAAAAAAAGGACACATTGCTGAAAATCATTGGCTTCCTGCTGTAGTCATTTTACTTTCTTTGATTCTTCCCCCCTCCTCCCAAATTGCTCTAGAACCTTCCAATTCCAGCCCTTTTCCTGTTCCAGGGACTTCAGCCCAAACACAGTTTATTGTGTGAATAGCTGCAGAGGGAAAAAATGTCACTCCAAATACTCCGCATTCATGGGGGTGTTTTCTTTATCTTTGCAAATGGGTAAGCATGCGTGCATTTAAATATAAAATTAAACAAATAGACATTTGTTGTTTTCCCTGTTGTAATAACTTGAAGTGCTTCCTATTTGCAAAGCAATAGCTATCCCCTGGGCTGAATAAATGCAGAGGTCAAAGTGTTTACAATTAGGCGTGGCCTAGTAGACAGAGCACTGGGCTGGATGGGACTCAGAAGATCTGGATTCTATTCCCAGCTCTGCCACTGGCCTGCTGGGTGACTTTGGGCAAATCATAGAAGATTATGGTTGAAAGAGACCTTAGGAGATCATCTAGTCCAATCCCCTGCTCAAAGCAGGACCAACCCCAACTGAATCATCCCAGCCAGGGCTTTGTCAAGCCGGGCCTTAAAAATCTCTAAGGATGGAGATTCCACTACCTCCCTATGTAACCCATTCCAGTGCTTCACCACCCTCCTAGTGAAATAGTTTTTCCTAATATCCAACCTAGATCGTCCCCACTGCAACTTGAGACCATTGCTCCTTGTTCTGTTATCTGCCATCACTGAGAACAGCCGAGCTGTTCCTCTCTGTGCCTCAGATTCCATATCTATAAAATGGGGATACAATACTTACCTTCTTTGAAAAGTGCTTTGAGTTATACTGATGGAAAGTGCTGTAAATAAGTGGTAGGTAGGTATTGTTAAATAAACTCAGCTTGGAGGTATTATTAGCCCTGGAAATGTTTAATGAGTAAACAAGTATTCCATTTATAACAAAAACATAATATTCACATGTTAAAGGAAACAAGAAAACAACAAATGGGCAAAAGTGTTGTTAGACTGCTGCTGAAAGCTAGCCTGATTTAAAAATAATTTAACACAGTTCAAGCCCTACCTTTCTGTCATGCTGTCATCTCTACTTCTCTTCCTAATTTCTTCCCTCTTTTCTCCTTTTGACAGCCTCACTCCTTCCCTACCTAGAAATCTCAAGTTTCTTGATCCACAAATAATGTTTTGGTTTTCAATATTTCATGTTGTAGTGGTGTCATGTGATTAAATTCCATTTTTCATGCACCTCTGACAACACCTGCTATCTGACCACTTACTAGTCCATCTATCAAGGACTAGTAAGGACCTCCACCTGCCCTGGGCAGGGAGCCTGGGGGGTGGGGACACAGGCTGGGGGCTGCTCTTGGCCCCCCCACCTTGGGCAGGTGGAGGTCCACAGGGTGGCACCCCATGCTGCCCGGGCTCCTCGGCTGGGCTCCAGCTGCCAGCCTGGCCAGGGGTGGGGCAAGGAGGCCCATGGCAAAAAGTGAATGGGCCAGGCCTGTCCACTTTCAAAAAGTGGGAGGGCCATGGAGGGAGGTGACCTCACTCCTAAGAATCTGATCCACCTGCAGTGTATCCATTGCGTTGTCAATACATACTGCAGCTAATGTTTACAACTGAG